CACTCCTGAGATTTAGTGCCTCTGAAAACCCACTAGAGGGTCAGAGATATGTCAGTTCCGATTTGATGGCACATAAAACCAACAATAACTTACTATGTGTAACTTTGTTCTTCAAGTCTCCTCTGCTCAGAAATGTTAACGGGCTAGTCAAAGACAGAAATCCTTTCTAACGGCACTGGTAGCCTAGTGAGTAAGGAGCTACACTGCTGACACAAAGACACACAATTAGAATCTACCAGCTACTCCATGGGAGAACGATGGATAATCACTTTCCAAGCAATTTATGGCCTCTAAAAACCCGCTGGAAAGTCAGCTATGAGTTGGTTCTGATTCAATGGCCTATAACAACAACAATATTCTCCAAAACAAACCAAATCCTCTCTGGCACTCACCAAGCCAAAGCAAAACAAATCCATTGCTGTGAAGCTGATTTCAACTCACAGCAACCCTACAGGCCATAGACGAACTTCTCCATATCGTTTTCAAGGCTGTGTATCTTTACAGAAGCCAACTGACATCTCTCTCTCCCAGAGATCAGCTAGGGAGTTTGAACCACCAACCTTTTGGTTAAGAGCCAAATACTTTCATGACTGCACACCAGAGCTCCTTTTTTAGCATTAAAGGATCACTATCATCTGAGAGACCAGGGAGCTCTTGTTGGGGCCTTGTGACAGTAAGGAATAGCGCTGTAAAACCAAAGGCATGTGGTTCAAATCTGCCAACTGCTCTAAGGGAGAAAGATGGGCAGGGTCACCTATGAGTCACTCCAGCCTAAATGGTACACAACAACAACAACATAATCTAGGATCTATCCAGTTATCCAATCTTGTTAGATGTCATCAAGTCAACGAAGACGCTTATAAACTAAGACCCTATAAACAACTATGCCTTATCCTGTGCCATGCTCATGATCCCTCCCATACTTCTCTCTTATTATGTTCCAAGGTGTATTCTAAAATGACATCCAAGGGATCTTTCCCTTTTCTCAAAGCGTGTGTGTGAACATACACCTGTACGATACTTACTACTTGACAATGTCTTCCTCAATCTTAAGTCTGGCCATCCTTTGGGGCCAGCTCAAAGTCTTACCTGCTGGAAATCCTCAAGTCTTAACAGTTTGAAATTCTTATTATATTCCTAGTAAATGTGCATCATCTCTGGGGCTGCTAGCTGAAAGGCCAGCGGCTCAACTCTACCTTGCGCTTTGCGGGTGGAGTGGGGGAGGGGATGGGCAGTCCCCTCAAATAAAAGTTTACAGCCGAAGCAATCAGATAAAAGGCTGCTATGAGTCAGAATCAACTCAATGCCAGTGGCTTTTTTTTAAAAAAAAAAATTTTTTTGTTTTGTTTCTATTTTGCAGGGCAGAGATTGCGTAATATATGTTATTCCTAGAATCCAACAACTGGGTTCACCAATTTTCTATCCTCTTGATAAAAGTCATCAATAAAGCATTAATTCACATCTCAAATCATCACCATTTTAAAACCAAACTACCTCACTGGCACACAAGAATAACAAATCTCTACCATATTTGAAGATACATGAAGACTCTCTTTCAAATTGTTACAAGAGCCCTAGTGCCATATGTAGGAGGGAGTTGCGCTGCTGAAATCCACCAGTTTGTTCATCAGAAAAAGGTGTACAAGGTCTTCCCACTCTGACTAACAGCTTCAGAAAACCTCCCAATGGGGCAGCTGCAAGTGGGTTCAGACTTGACAATAATGAAGTAGGGTTTTTTTGAAAATTGCTAAAAAAGAAATAGATCACGTCATTTAATTCTAATAACATCTATGCTTTATGCTTTCGTTGTTGTGTACCATAGAGTCGGAACCAACCCTCCAGTAGGTTTTCAGAGGCAGTTAATCGCACAGGATTGCCCACCCTTCTCCTGCAGAGCAGCTGGTGGCCTTGAACCAGGTACATTCGGGATTGCAGTGCAGCTTCTCGCCACTAGGCCACATACTTTATGAGAGATTTAAAAATCAATGGTTTTGGTTTGTTATTTTTTAAATAATGTAGAATATCTGTCAGAATAGATATCTAATAGGAAATCTCTTAAGTATTTATAAGTTAAAATTTCAAATACCCATGTTTTAAACTGTTAAAAAGTAAATATTTGAGTAGACAAAAACAGATTTATTGATTTATTTTTTAAAAGTATGGACTTAACTATTTTTTGAGAGTTCAGTTCCTGATATGGAAAATTCCTTTGGTTACACACTACAGCAAAAGAAAGGGTGTGTGTGTGTGAAGAATAAAAACATCAGACCCTCAACATATGGCAAAATGTTCATTACCATAACATTAAGAAATATCAGCAACATCAGTTTGAATAACTAATTCATAAGGAAGAGTTTGAACTGGACAAAATCCTAGGTTTTCTTTCATCGCTCTAGGTTTCTTTTCTATTTTAAACTAGTGGCAACAGAAATTTCTTTGTTTGAAAGTCAGGAATGCTGGAAGTCTTAAGTGATAGAGCAGGTAGCTTGGTTTCTACTTCACGTCTCTCCTTAAAGGGAGAAAAACACTGTGGATAAAGTAGTTTTGTTTTTCTTTCTGGAAAAATCATTTTTTCCACCAATCTTCATAATTCTCTAAAATAAACTGTTAAAAAGTTACAGCTAGTCAACCACTTCACCCTGGATTGTGGAAATACTATACATTAATTTCAAGAACACATGGCTAATTCAAGTTTTCTTACTACTCTATAGTTCTAAAAGTTGCTCCTAACTCTTACAAAACCCTAGGAGAATTTCACAAGCACATGATAGATTTTTGCATTGTATTTGCCATATTTGTGCAAGGAAAAATATCCCAACCAACCCAGTAAGAGTATTCTAGGGTTGAGAATGAAATTAAATGTCATCGAATATATTTTTAATATACTATGTTTTACTATATATAACTTTTATGCCCCATCAAGTGCTTATGAATCACATCTAGAAAGAAAACACAAATAAGAAGTTATTGGTTCATTACGTCAACAATCAACCAATATTCCTTGCTTGCAGGCTAAAATTGAGATGCCTGTCCTACCCAAACTAGATTAGATAATTAAAACAAGAAGAACAAACGGACTTTTAGAGGGCATACAGTGTGAAGTAGAATTTGTCCTTTCAAACTTATCATTCACATTTGAAGCCACTTTAATTAAGATTTAAGAATTCAAGAGATAGGCAACTCAGATAATTAAACAAAGGAAAGCAATAAGAGACACAGAACAGCAAGCGCCTAAATCTCATAAATCAAATAGTCAAAGACCAGAAAGCAGTTTCTTCACAGAACACAGAGTCCTCTTTCCCGGCCCCCCCTCCCCCACCACAAACTTGATGAACAGGAGGCAAAAAAACTTTGCCGACTGAGGCAGGCAAGCACATGCGCACAATGGGAAGCGAAGCGTGGAGATCCTCTGGGACAAACTGCATCTGTAACTTTCTACTCCATTTATAATGGAGCACTGTGGGAAGATTTTTGCAACTTTCTTCCAGATCAAACAGCGCAAAATTACAGTTAAGACTGCAAACTACTAATTCTCTTGCTACAAACAATCAAAGGCATAACTCAATGAATGCGGGGGGGGGGGAGGGAGTAGGGGATTAGACTGGAAGAAGAAAGTATGAAGCATTTTGTCAAGGCTGAATGGATTAACTTTTAAAAAAATCTAACATGTCCATTTTCTTTCTTTCTAATTTCTCTTTCTCTTCTTTTTTCCCTACCTTTTAAAAAAAGTGCATATGCACCAACCTCCTGGGACTGAACGCAAACTTTAAATAAAGCTGGAAGGCCTGGTGGTCAGCACATGGCCACAGTCGTGTATTTAGCTGTAACCCAACATAGATGCCACTTTATTTGAAAGACCTCAGAAAATGTCGTTGTGTGTGTGACCATGCCTAAAATGAGACCAGCAAATTTAAAAAGTTGAATTCTATGCATCGAGAAGCAAACGGAGGCCCTGCAACCTCAAGGCTTCGATTTCCAATAGTAACTTTTGTTGTGTATTTACTACTGTAAATGTTTGCCCCTCTACACAGAACTTGGAAAGGGGCGGGGGGAAGAAGGTTTGTGGTCACATGTTCAGAGACAGTGAGGGACTGAGGCATAGGCATTAACCGTATTTAATTAACCTCTGACCTAGTCAGAAGGGGGTTGCTTAAACTCTACAAGCTAAAGGGGCAAAATAATTCAATGTGAGTGGCTGGCAGATTGGGATAACATTAAAGGAACAAGCTGGCCTGAAATGCACCAATGTCAAAACACAACAGCTTCAAAAGTTGCTCGACATAATTTCTCTCTCCTTTCATAAAATATAGCTGGGGGGAAGGGCTTTGTAGACCTCCAGTGAGAAGTTGGGCCCCATGCAGTAGCCCCCTGAGCAGGACAAAAAATTTCCTTCAACCACATACAACAGGCAGCGGGGAGGAGGTTGAGGAGCTGTGACCTCTGGGACTCTAAATACACCCAGAGGGTCTCAGCCAACGCCAAGGGCTGGGCCAGGTGCGGCAGCTAGTTGCAACTTCTCCCCAAAGAGACGCAGCACCCAAAAGGGGGAAAAGAAGTCACCTCGTTCTACACGCACAGGAAGAGCTCAAGTGTCTGTAGACGCCACCGTCACCTCAAGACATGCCCCGCCCCAACTCAGAGGAGAGCACGACACACGTTTTACTCCACAAAGTCCAAGGCAACCTGCTCTCTCCCAGGTTAAGCCCCCAACTCCCTGGTCCCTAACCGTACGCTGCCCGGCAGGCGCAGGTGTCCCCCACTATTCTGATGCCCCTACCCCCCTTTCGCCACACGCCCCAGTCGCTTTCCACCTTCCCAGCTCAGAGCACCACCTAGCCCAAACGCCAGGAAGCACCTCGAGCCCCACTCCCGGGTCACCTGGCCCCAGCGCCGGGTCTGCCATCAGGGGAGTCTCCGGGCCACCTCTGGCGGCCCGTGGCAGGTACGGAGTGCTCCCCGGGCAGTCACATGGGTGGCGGCAGCGGCCTGGGCGTCCTCACCTGCATCCCGGGCACTTGGACCGCCACCGGTGAGTGGGCCATGGAGTCGTAGGCTGCTCCGCGCTGCTCCTGCGGCGACGGCGGCCCCTGGGGCTGTGACTGGCTCCTCCTCCGGGGGTAGTTGGGCGGCCCTCCCAGGCTTTTCGACCGGGGCCTGGAAGGACACACAGAAGTGGGGTCACCAGGCTGGGGGGCGAGCGGCCGGGGCGGGAGGTGGGCGGCGGGCGGCGGGACTCAGTCTACCTTGCCAGCGCCCGCCCGCCGTTCCAGTTGTTGCTGCTGCTGCTACTCCGCCTCCGGTACGGCGGGGTCGGTGCGCGCCCGTGGCTGGGACCTGAGCTCGAGTGATGCCGCTCGTCCGCGCCGCGCCGCTTTAGGAAGAGCTGGAGGCGGCCCAGCCACCCGCCCCCGCAGCCGCCCCGGGAGGCGGTCGAGGGCGGGCCTGACGCTAGCCCGGCCCCCGACCCGGAGCGGGCCAACGACGGGGGGGTTTGGGGCGCGCCGCCCCAGCAGGAACGCCCGGTGACTTTGGCCCCTCGCGGAGAGGAGACTCCAGCGTTGGGAAAACTTGAGATGCTGTCCGGCCTGGAGAGAGAGAGGGAGAGTTGGAGAGAGCCGCGAGTGCCCGAGCGTCCTGGACACAGCCACGTTGCAGGCGGGCTGGTGGACGAGGCAGGGGGTGGGGTGGCTGGAGCCCGCAGCCCCCCGAAACCCCTGGAGTTGAAACTTGTGCAGTGATAGAAGCCTCTTCGCTCCCCGACCCAGCAGAGGGGAGGGCACCAGGGGGCCCACCAGCCTTGCACCCAGAGCTCACTCTAGCCCTCAGGTCCCCCCAGCCTCCAGCCCCGCCCTTGGACAGGTCTGTCACCATTCTTCTACCCCTAGAATAGAGTTCAAGGGACCTAGACCCGAGGCCACCACTCGGACTCTGGCCAGCAGTTGGAGGATGGCCAGGCTGGGTTTCTCTTCAACACCAGTTCTGCACGTGGAAGACAGAAGAAGTTGGCAAACAGACGGGACTACGGTAAAGAAATTATTAAGGACATTTGAGGAATAGGAAATGAGCTGCGATCACTGGCAGGTTAGATTCTTTCATTCAGCATCCGTAAAGGAGTGGTTTAGGAGACTGTCTCCTCGACCATTCTCATTTCAGGTTCAGTGAAATTAACCCTTTTGAGAGGTCCCTAACATTAACAAGGACAATAGTTATCGTTGTGGGCCATAGAGTCTGAAGGGACCCTTCAGCGCGTTTTCAGAGGCAGTAAATCATAAGGGAGGAGACTGCGCATCCGCTGGTAGATTCGAACTTTGTACCTTTGGGATTACAGTGCATTTTCCTACTACTAAGCCACACCGACAATGATGAAAAGAAACAACAGGAAAGACCTTATCAAGGCACCTTTGGAAACACTCAAGGAGTTAGCTACATTTGCGTTTTGGTGGCCTAGTGGCAAGAAGCTGCGCTGCAATCCTGAAGACAAGCTATGGGTCGGTTCTGACTTGACGGTACTCATCAGCAATGCCCAAGTGCTCGTTTAAAATAAGGGTAAATTTACCTACCTTGCCAGTTGTTGTGACACTGTGCAGAGGTTCCAGTAGCAATCAACGTCCAACCACAACCAAAGTGTGGTACATCTACACAATGGGGTACTATGCAGCACTCAGGAGCAACGATTTTGAAAACTACTACCCAACTTGGGAGGGACTGGAGGCCATTCTGCTGAGTGAACTAACTCAGTCTCATATGGACAAATACTGCATAAGACCATTATTGTAAAAATAAAGTAACTAGTAAAACATGTAGGGGGGACCAAATGGGGAAGGGGTGGGAGCAGAGGAGTGAAAATGGTGGGAAAATCATAGGGCGGCACAATTTGGTGAAGGAAATGGGAAAGATCCGGAGGGAACCTGACAAGACGGGGTAATGGTGGGCATAGTCCAATGGTGATCAGTTTTACAAAACACAATGTATGAGAATGTTTGTATGAAACATAATGTCCATGAAGAAAAGTGTGTGTGTGCATAATCTGTGTATATATATATATATATATATATATATAGAGAGAGAGAGAGAGAGAGAGAGAGAGATTTCTCTTGTTCTTTCCTAAATCTGTAAGTTGATGTCAAGTCGATTTTAACTGATAGTTTCCAAGGTTTCCAAGGCTATATAGAAATTGCATGTGGAGAAGACTGCCCATCTTCTCCCAGGAAGCAGCTGGGAGATGGTATGTTGTTATTATCAATATAATGTAAAGGATTCTATTTTCTTTGTGATAGGGACTGCTAAAGACAATATGCATGAACTTACTGATCTATGCATGAGTCTTCTCAGACTGCACCAGCCCTAAACTCCATTTGATAGAAGAAGGGAAAGGCTCAGTATGCCTAAATAATTTGTCCTCGGTATTATACAACTGTTGTGTACTGTCAAGCGGAACTGACCTGTACCTGACCCTCCCATGAGTTTTTAGAGGTAGTAAAGGAGATTGCCCACATTTCTCTCACAGAGCAGCCGGTGGATTTGAACTGAGTGCTTTTGAGGTTGAGTGCAGTGCAGCTTCTTAAGCAAAACTGGGAAATCCAGGCCTGGTCCCTGTGGCTGGTGATAAAGTTACTACTATCTCCCTTGTTTCTGTCTTCTTTCAGTGACGATGAATGGTATCTTTGCTCTCTCTTATTCATAATTTCCCAAGACTGGGTCTTGAATACTTCTAAACTGACTGATGGTGTTACCCGACTGTCGTCTCCTTTCTCCACTTGCCCAGTTCTCACTGAGGAGAGCCACACAGAACCAGAAACCTGGCAGTTCACCCAAACTTTAATGCATATAGGAAGAAATCACTGGAGGTTTTTCTTTCTTTTTGTTTTAAAAACTCAACGGCTTTATAGTCGGTGTGTGGAGCGTAGGCCCAAGAATCTACATTGCTAAACATTTTCCTCTCCCAATTGGACCCATTTCAACTCCCACCACCACTGAGCCCTCCTTCAAACACCTCCTGCACATGGATGTTTTAGTAAACAGGTGGCATAAGGCAGCACTCACACTGGCATTCTCTCTCCCTATTTCTTGTATCTCATTTGCTTTGACTGCCAAACAATGGTCGTTAGTCATTAAGAGCAAAGACCCAAATTTTCTTACACTAGCTCCTTGGAGGCAAGGATTCTGGGGCTTCGCCTGACATACTTTGGACATGTTGTAAGGAAAGACAGGTCTTTAGAGAGGGACATCATGCTGGGTAGAGTGGAGGGACAGTGCAGGAGGGGAAGACCCTCTATGAGGTGGATTGATTCAGTGACTGGAGTAATCGGGATGGCTGTGTCAGAGGCAATGAGATTGGCACAGGATAGAGTAGGGTTTAGGACTGTTGTACATAGGGTCGCTATGAGTCACAAACGACTTGATGGCGCATAACAACAACAACAGAATTATTCAGAAAGAATGTAAGACAGACTATTAGATTTGGCATGTGGATTATGGAGACATTTCCTAAAAGTTGTTGAGATCCAAGTAAATGTTACACCTTTGTTTAGGCCTCACTAGAAAAACTCACTGTCATCAAGGTTAAACCGACTCAGCTGACCCTCCCTGTGGGTTTCTGAGGCTGTAAATTGCATGGGAGGAGATTGCCCGTTCTTCTCCTGTGAAGCTGCTGGTAGAGTTGAATGATAAGAGATGAGCCACCTTTAGGTGAACTGTCCAACTCCCTACAGACTATGCCATCAGAGCTCCTTGTATTTAAATCTACAGCTATTAAATAAACCATCTTTTGCTGCTGCTACGGATAGAGATAACGTGTGTTTCCACATTGGATTTTTTTGTGGTTTAATTTATGCATTTGCTACTTTATGTA